CCATTAGTTGGCATGTGGCACCGGGCACTAACTATTTCCAAGAAGTTGATTGCGCCGATGCTACCAAGATCATCGCGGCATGGAAACGTGGTGACACTTTGTTCGAGTAGCTTGACGTTTTTAACCATGCATCGTGAGCTGTCATCAGCTGAGTCTGCCCCTCTTGCCTTTGACAGGTAACATTCCAGTTTCCAACGAGACTCTCTCACGATGTTGAGCCGAGAACATCTCCAAACCATACATCCTCGCAGCCAGTAACTAATCTGGCTGGCTCTGCATCATACCTTCGTCATCGCGCCCTGAACCGCGCTGAACCTTCTCCAGGCATAGCGAGATTGCGACGGAGCTCAACGTTCTCTGACACCGTTTCAGAAGCCCGCAACTCCATCAGATCGTCCACCGACGATCTGTTCCTTCCGCGGGTTGATGCAAATTCAAGGTCCCTAGACAGCAATAATAATGAGTCTCACTGGCAGTCTGTCCCACTGGCGTTGGCGTTGCTGCCCGCAGTCGGGGGCCTGCTATTCCCAAATGGAAGCGCGGTAGTAACAGATATCACTTTACTGGTTCTGGCAGCAGTATTTCTTAATTGGTCGATTCGATTACCGTGGTGAGAGAGCCTACAAGAGCATATATTTTATATATAAATCGCCTGCCTAATAATGTACAACTTTCAGGGACTGGTACATCTCAGCACAACAGATGTCACGAAGTCTCACACTAGAAGACGAATTCGACATGGATGTGATTATCGAGCAAGCTGAGGAACCAGAGCTGGAGCCGGGCAAGAAAGAGGACCGTGATTCAAAGCCCAAGCCGCAAGAATGCGCAGCTTCGACGCCCCAATCCGCAACTGCCCGGGCCGCAATGGCGGAGCTCCACCGACACGAACTAGCAGCTCTAACATCCTGCTTCCTCCTCCCCATCGTAGGCGCTTGGCTCTTGCATACCCTCAGGTCGCAACTCTCCCGACCCTCCGAGGGCCTCGTGTCCAATTACAATTTAACAGTCTTCCTCCTCGCCGCGGAAGTTCGCCCATTTTCCCACCTGTTGAAAATGGTCCAAGCACGTACCCTCTACCTACAACGCCTCGTCTCTTCCGACACCGGGGAACCTCGCGAGAGAATCGACGCCAGCAAAATCTTCGACATCTCCACCCGCCTCGAGGAGCTAGAAGCTCACATCGCAGAAACAGCCAGCAAGCGCGAGCATCAAGACCAATATCAAAATCAACAGCCCCCCAACAGTGCCAAGCACGGAAAAGAATACCTCTCCGCAACCTCACCCGCAACCACCAAAGGCCTGTCCCCAGACAATCAAACACCACACCCGGACCTCTCAGCCCTTACCCGCGCCATGCGCCGCTACGAAAAACGCACCACCCTGCACGCCCACGAGACCGAAACGCGTCTTCAATCTCTCGAAGAGCGACTGAGGGACGTCATCTCACTCAGCACCGCAGTGGCAGCGCAGCAGCGCCGCGCAGCGTCGAATCGCAGCTCGCCGATATTTGTATG